CATTTCCCTGAGTTGATTAGTTTTGAAGCAATGTAAGCTAATTTATTCTAATGATCCCGGCATGGTCAATTAAATGAAATGTAGTACAAATAAGCACTGTCACAGTAAAATTACTTAAAATCGAATTCCAATTAATAACACAACAAATATACATGTACTATACCCTGAATGTCTGCTTCGAACAACATTTCAAAACAAGCACACACATCAACATCAATTTGGAACACAAAAGGTGATAATATCATAATTGCTGTCTAGACTCTATAATCTTCAACCTGTGAAGTTATCTTGAAGCTTGAGATTCCATTATTAATTACGATGACAAAACTTGAACTTGGTTTTAGGTTGATAAAGTTTTTTTAAATTTTATTTCAACAGCATTATTGGGTTGTGTTTGCAAATGAAAACACTCACACAAAATTGAGCGACGCTCGGGAAACATTATTTATCAAATGTTGGACCTATATTGTTATCAAGGCCAAATTCTGAGAAAAAGATGGTCTCTAAGCCGTAAGCAAAGGGAACATACCTTTCCCTATACTTTCACTTTTAGTTTCATTTATTGATATTTTCACACAATCTGCCATTTTTATTTTACTTAAAGAGATCCTTCAACTCTGTATTCCTAACACTATAGTGCCCTCTTGTTCCCCTTCCCTCCCAGGTTCCTCTTGCAGCATATAAAGGGTTAAAAAAAAACTTTATGTACTCACCCGACTTGATGGACATCAGCGCTGGTTTGCACTCCGCCTCTTCCAATGTCATCCGCTGGGGTGACCTAATGCGCATGTGCGGTGAGCACTGTGAGCGCAGTAGGCCCTCCCCATAAAAATAATTGCTTCAATGCATTCCTATGGGGTTTTCACTGATGCTGGATGTCCACATGCAGAGTGTGAGGCATCATTTAGGGCAGTGGTCCCCAACCCAGTCCTCATGGACCACCTACAGTCCAGGTTTTGTCAGTTTCTTGATTGGAATAAAACAGGGAAATACATAAATACTGGACTGTTGGTGATCCATGATTTTTGGGGTCTGGCATCCAGTAAGCTCCAAGAAGTGCCTTTATTGGCTGTCGGATAGACAGTACCCCCAGACCACTTCAATGGGCCGAAGTGGGCTGGGTGCCTATTGTGAGGACATGATGGCTTTAAAAAACTGTTAGTTTTAGATATTTTCCTGGGTCTGCCCCCGCCCTATATCGAAATGTATTTTGCGCCTGCAGAGGTGTTATTGAACTTCAAAGTTACTGCCAAGTTAAATGATCTCTCTCCTAGTCTTCCTGTATTTTCCTATTGTATTTATTGGCTTCATTTTGACATAGCTGAAGTGTTGGGCCCCTCCGATGTCTTGCATTACAGAGAACGCTGCATGCGTATCTAATAGCTGCTAAGGATGTGATGACAAGGATGGCATACAATAGACATCTGAGTAGGATTGAAGCAACATTTTAACGGACATTGCCATCAGGTGTATACAGTAATGACACCAGGGTATCCGTCTGCTACAAGACATTTAAAAGATCTTAACCTCCCCTGTATGTAATGCAGCAGAGGGGAGGTAACAGCATGAAGTTACAGTCTCTATTTTTATTTATGTATTGTTATTTATTTATTTTAAGTTACAGTAGAGGGAGGTACAGTAAGTGTAGTAGTTATGCAGTGTATGTATATTTTTTAAGTATATATATCTGTAATTATTCTACAAATGTTTCATTTTGGCTACATTACAGGAAAAGAAAGTATATGTACGTATGCAAATATTACAAAAGCTCATTCACTTTAACTATGCCGACATCAGCTGCATTGAACTTGGCTCATGGTCATTGCAAGTTCCATGTGTATGTATGGACGAGCTCTGATTGGCTGAAATTGCTCAGACACTTCCTTGTCGCTTCCCATAGAGAGGAGAGAAAAGTATACATTTCAAAGGAAATTTAAAATTTAAAACAACGCTACAGTCACCAAAGCTTAATGAAGCAGCTTTTTTGTAAAGATCTTGCCTTGTCATGTTTGTTGCTCTCCATGCAGCTATAGCTGCACCTCCCCAGATGTTTACTTACTTTGGAAGTTTTTATCTCCTGCTCTGTAAACTGAATTTTAATCACACACAGGAGGCTCCTGCAAGGTCTAGCAAGCTATTCACAGAGCAGGAGATGCAACATTCTAAATGAAACAGGCTGTACAATAAAGGAAGTATAAACATTATAGCTCTATTTACAGGAAGTGTTTATGAAGGCTGTGTAAGTCACATGCATTGAGGTGTGACTAAGACTGCAAACAAAGTGGTTAAAGTCTTAAATGGCAGAGAATTGAGCAGTGATTCTACAGGGGCATGAACTATACACCAAAAAGGCTTCACTAGGCTAAAGTTGTTTTGGTGAATATGGTGTCCCTTTAAGGCCAAAGTAGCTAAATTGAGAGCATAATCGACAAATGCATTTCAAATTTAAAAAAAAAAAACTTTGAAAAAATTGTCTTCTTTCACTTTTTCTCAGGACAAGATCCTATAAAAGGTTTAATCCTGTTTCCTGTCCAGGTTTCTCTATAACCATCACATGAGCTCAGTCCCTCTCTTTCTCCTCTTTTACCCTCTGCCCTTTAACTCTTTCTATCTCTCTCTCTCTTTCATTTCCTAAGCCTTGCTTCAGTGGATTTCTTTACTAAACAGTTAATTCTTGTGAGCTGATAATCAACTGCACAAATTAAGTCAAAATACCAGATTTTGAAAACATAATTCCCCTTAGCTGATTTGCACAAATATTACCACTCATCTAATTTTACATTTTCCAAGTCGTTGTCTCTCCATACCACTTTAAATATTCCTTTAATCTAAAACAATGTGCCCAGCACATTTCTGGTATTGTGAATGTCTCTCTTTTTCTAAACTAGTGAATGCAAAGCGTATTTGGAAAAAGAAAAGATTGTCTCTCGAACTTGTAATATATGCTTCTGTAGCATCTCATCCCATTGGGGGAAAAAAAAATTCTATCACTTTCATCGCTTGCCCCCGAGACTCGCTGCCAGGCGCCGGATCTGACACGGCAGCGTAGCTTTCCTTTTCTTCCTCTTTTTTTTTTTTTTAAATCTTTTTTTGTTTTATCTTTTTTTTCCTTTCACTCTTCAATAAGGAATACAAGGCCGCTGCCAAAAAATATACAACAGCACAATCAAACATCAGATGGTAACTCTGTTCCCACAGCTTGTATGAGTGAAAACAGTGAGATTATACCCATGTTTTAGTGTAGAATCCCCTGTTGTTAGATCTAGCAGGACTCAGCACTGAGCCCTTGTTCCTTAGTTTCTGTTCTCGGGGCCCACACTGTTTTTAGCACTGGATACCATTCAGATTCTATTCAGCATTGTATGTCCATTCGCCTATGGTTCAACCACTCCAAATGTGTGCATGTACCCAGAAAATTCAGCTTTTCATAATGTATTCTCTATGTAACAGAAAAGATTAAAATGTAAGCCTGCTGAATGCAGCAGGAATTAGTTAGACAGATGAATATGGGAAAAATGAATCTGGAATGATGGCGGATTTAGGCTAATGATGGTGGAACGGCGCTAAGAACTTGATGGTGGGCTTCAGTCTCTCTAATCCCAGAATGGGATGTATTTTGGTAGGAAAAAAAAAAAAGGAAAGAAAAAAGTCCTTATTTTTTGGAACACATTGCAAAAAGCAGAGAATGTAATTGAACCGATAGCTGATATAGATTTACATGTATAATAGGTTTATGCTATTAACAACTGACATTCTGTTTCCGTACGAAGATGAAAATTGTTTTAGCGAAGCATTGTCAGTGATTTGTGTCGCACAAACACTCTGGCAGATAAATAGTTATGGTGTGTGCTTGCTATTCACTGACTTTAACCTAAAATACACTGGCACGCATCAAATGGAATATCATAGGGATGCATGAATAAAATATGATATATTGTAATGTAAACATTAAAAAAGTGAAAGCAAAGAGGACAAAAAGCATAGACATTTAAATAGTATTTGTAAGCGTGAATCAGATCACTGAGCTTTTTATTATTATAACGTCATTTTAGAATCGTTGTTTGGGACTAACACAGCCTGAATGTTCCCAGATGGCTCTGGGCCTGAGACATCCCAACAATAATAATGAACTGAAGATCATATGCTGCACGTTTACTAACAATTAACTAATAATAGGAGGAAGGCCTGATCTGACATATTTCCGATGGCTAATTGTTAAGACAGATTTTGAGAAAAAAAAAATATATAAACAGAGCGTACAAAACACAGAGAAAAAAAGAGAAACATATTTAGCAACTAAGATTTGTTTTTTTAACAAAATTATCATAGGAATTTAGGAATTCTGTAAGTACATAGGATTCTTCTGACTTTGTGTAAATTACCAGCAGTGGAACCCCATGATCCATCCATCCGTCTGTCCATCCATTTGACTATCCACCTATCTGTCTTTCGAGATAACCATTTATATCCCTGTGAAAATTTCTCCTTGTTTTTCAGAAACCTATTTGTTTGTCTTTCTGCCTTTCTAGTTTTACTTATTTACAGGGTTTTGTTTTGTATTGTTTATTATACTATACCAATTAATTGACAGCTATAATTTTGACACCTGAATAAGTAATTAAAGTCATTTTCGATAAGATATCGTTGCACACAGGATATTTTCACTATTCATTATGCAGTAAAAAATCTCAGAATCCGTTCACTGCAGAAGTGAAAGACATGTTGGTTTAGAGCTTTGTGAACGAGGATCTATCTCATTGGGAATTACAGCCGTGCAATAAACAAACACAACAATAGTGTTAACAGAACACTCACAGCACAACTTGCCTTTCATGGACAAAACAAATGCCAGACAAGGCGTGTGCTTCTCGGTGTTATTATTTAATAGTGGTTATTAGTGCCTTTCTGTGCTAAACACAGGTCTGGACCGTGGAAAATCAAAAAACAAACTGGCATTTCGGAGCAATAAGTGTCTTTTCGAAGGATTGGAAGTTGCCTTTTTAATATTCTGTCTGACTTATTTCCGGTTCTGTACCTCCTCCAAGGGAACCAAATGACGCGAGATCACCCACATCAAACGTAAATATCACAAGAAGCCACTTCCATTCTTTGCTTAAAAGCTCTAATGAAACAGACGCAGAAGAGAGTATAACCAGGACGATGTGGTTTTTCAAACAGGCGGCTTTCCTTCTGTATGAAAAAGGGAAAATTAAGGCAGCTCTTTGGATCTAGGAATTATAGACACTTGTTATTTGGTTCAAATTTGTTATTCAAAGGGAAAAAAAAACATTAAACTAACAATATATTACAATAATTTTTAAACTTTTTTATTTCTACATTACAACATTATACACATCATACGTATAGTTTAAAAACATGTTGTATTTTTCTTCTAGAGTTTGACCATGAACCATTCAGAGTCACACAATGCTATTGGACCAAAAACGCAACAATCTAAACTCTGAAATATTATAAAACATATACGGTATTAATATTATATAACACAGAAATGACTGTTTTTGTTGGTTTTCCTAACGTGTATTTGAGAGTACAATAAAAACAATAAAAGGCTGCGCACATAAAATAAAGTCCAATGTAAGTAAAATAAGGAAAGTCCAATTAGTTAGTTCTTACTGGTGTCCTTGATTGATGAGGTCTTCTATTTATTATGGTGATTTCACTTAATAAAAGATAAAAAGAGAAAAAAAGGGACAACCAATGGTGTAGTATGTAAAATTCGAATCTAGAAGTAAGAGTAATGATATAAAACTCACATTTATCAGAGCTAATGTCCAGCTCTGGAGTGAAGCGCGTACAGCGGTTTAATCCCCGCTTATGGGATATAGGGCAGGTTCCTTTCCGTGAGTGGTATCCAATTCTCGGAATAAAACAAAACAACCAATAGTGCTCACTGTATGGCAGATAGTAGTAAAAAAATAAAAGAAATGTACTTACAAAGTAAGAGCAGACGTACTGCTCTTTGATGATAGCTTGGGTGGATTGATCCCCACCTTACGGATTTCTTTGGGTACAGGAAACTTCCAGAAATTTTTAAGGTTTCTTTTAAAACCAGTTAAAAAATTAAAATAACAATAAAAGGGCCAGGGTAAAAGAGAAAAGTATGTGTCTATAAAAAAGATAATTGGCACAAATGAATGACCAATAATACTTTAATATATATATAAAAAACACAATATTCAAATATCCATAACGCGTTTCGTCACAAAAGGACTTTTTCAAATGTGTATTTGAGAGTAGTCTTACACATATACATAGTTCCAACAAATCAGTGACTAAACCCTTTAGAATCTATTACAATTTGCGCAGAATAATTTTACCAAATTAATTGTTTATTTATTACAGTTCCGACTTTAGTTTTTTTTTCAGAGTATTACATTTTGGCAGCTTGATAACTGGGGAAATCTATTTGCAGACCACCAGCTAAAACAAAAATATTAAAACCATACCTGGGCTGCCCCAAAAACAAATCAATAATAAGCAGCAATCACTGCCCCTTCTTTCAATACTCTAGAAGACTTACAAAGCAGAAGCAATGTCATTGACCCTACTTCTTCCTAACATATAATAGGAGGACTGCTATGCCAGCAACCCTACCCAATGATCAGCTCTCAATAGTTTTAATTTTTTTTTTGTATTTTTAGGAGAATAGGTTAATTATTATTATTATTTTTTTTTCTTTGTTAAGTTTTGTACGTATTGATTTATCTTAATTACATGTATTTCTATATCTATTTTCAGTATCAGACCTCCATCATTTTTTCGTCTCTGTCCATGATGTTCTTCTGTTGTATTCTTGTGATTGTTGGATTACCATGGCAACTAAAAGTGAACTTAGCTTCAGTTCTGCCCATTGCCAAAGATTGCCAAATCCTTTTTCTTAAGGATTCAAATAAAGTGAATTAAAAAAATATATATATACAATAATATAAGAACAAGAAAACCTCTGCAAATTGACAGGACTACTTTGATTAAATTTTAGTCCTTTATAAAATAAATAAACAAAAGACACAAAGACACTGATGTAGTTTTACCTGCTGTTATGCATTTCTTCGTTCTTTTATTTCTTATTTGTATACTCCTTTGTCGTGGCTCAGAATCCACGTTCTCTTATGGTCAGCGCGGGTTCAGAAGCCGTGACATTTCTTTAGCATCAAGCGACTTACATTGTACTCTGCGTTTCTATCAATAATTCTCTGCTTAGAAATATCTGCCAAACCGTGACCTGTGAAACACCTCTTTCAGAAACTGGAGCAGAAATATGGCCTCCCACATTTTCAGTGTTTTAAATTCAAAGGGTGAAATAATTTAATAATAAAATAACATATTGGGCAGAATGTATACATTATTGCTGTGATATATGAATGGAGACACAGGAAGCATGAATACATCTGTTATTTTAATACTGAGAAAATTATGACTTTCATTTTCTGCTTACAACTACATTAAATAAATGAAGAACAATTTTATAGGAGAATACATAAGAATAATAAATAAAAATAAATAAAAAAATTTTGTCACCTTGGTATTATTTTTTAGAAATTGTTTCAGTTTTGTATGAATAATCTGAGTTTAAAAATCTTAAAGGGACGCTCCCTTGATAAAGGCATTTTGCCGAAACGTTGGGGGCTTATTGGTTGACTCTTGTCCTTCTTTTCACTAGGTCTGGTATGCTTTTTTTTTTCGTTGTATACATAATTATTTTTGGGTTTGTAAAAATTTTGGTATCTCATACAGTTATTTTGTTTTAAATATGTTTATTGTCAGCAATATAAACACGGGTGTTGAACTTGGTAACATTCATGCATATAATTGCCTACGCAGAGGCGTGCACGTTGAAAGTGTATATAATGTGAGGCCGACATATTCCAGTTAACTCAGAGTAACACATAGTTGCCTGCGCAGAGGCGTATAAGTCAATATAAACATGCAATGACTAATATTAGACATTTATAAGCCTTGCAGGGCTAGACATGCAAAAGGTGGTGAGCTTGCTTGGTATTGCGTTGTTAGGGCGTTTTCGTCAGGTATGTGGTGGCTATTTGGGGTGGCAGTTAGTATCATGTGTTCAGCTATCGGCTCATTAAATGGTGTTAGTGTGGTTCGTTAATGATACACTGTTTTCTTCTGAGATGCCTGTGTTTGCGTATTTATCCCTGTTGCCGTAAACTGCAGTGAAGGCCCATCTTGCGAAAGTGAGTTGGTGTTTACGCGTTCTGATCTTTTGTCTGTAGCCCTGAGTTCTAGTGTGTCTCGTGGCTACCCGCTCGTGCATATTGGGGTTGTATTTGTTTTGTGTGTTTCGTGTCCTTCCCCTCTACTGGTGATGGTGAAGCCTTCTGCGGTAAGTCTGTGTCACCTCTATTGCGTGTTTCCATGGTTATGTCTATGTAGTGTTGCTTTATTCTGGAGCTCTGTGTGTCTGCCTCTATTGTTGCGTCTTTGTGGTTCCGGTTTGTGTGTCTGAGTCACTGTCTGTGTGTCTTGGTGTCGTCGCGTTGAGGTGGGTTCACCTGTGTGCGTGGATGTGGTGTTGTTCTGTGGGTTTTGGGTTAGATCGCCAAGGTCTGTGTTTGGGTTGTGGATGTGTGTGGCTCTCAGATCATGTGGTTTCGCAACTCTCGTCTGTTATTATCTGACTGCAGTGGCCGTTTGTTCTATGTCTTGGCTGTCCGTGTGTTTGTAGTGGGTCTTGGTTCAGGTTGTGTAGTTTAAAGTCTTGGCATGCTGTTGCTCGTATGTGTTGTGTGTTTACTTGTGTATGTTCCCGACTGACCTGCTCATTGTCCCGCCTCCTGTTGTCCTTTGGGTGTGCGACTATATGTGTCGGCAAGTTGTGTGTTGTGTATGTGCATGTGGGTGTTGTGGGTTGGTGATGGTGGGTGTTTCCGACCCCTGTCGCCGTCTCGGTTCGTCGGTCCCCAGCTTCTCATATTCGTGCCGTATTTATTTTGGCTTAATACTCTCCTCCTTCGTCTACTGCGTCACCATGCGGTTACGGAAAGCGTCAGTGGTGGTTAGTCTGAGCCAGTGAAACCAGCGTTTGGTGTAGCGATCTCTAAGGTTCGGGGTAGTTGCCTTCACGTCTTCGAATTTCCTAGTTGCTTCCACCTCTTCCACCCATCTTGCGATGGAGGGTGTGGTGGCCTGCTTCCAGTATATTGGGACCGTTGCTTTGGCTGCGTTTAGTAGTCGTGGGATGACAGATTTACTGTATGTCGGTATAGACATCTCCGTGTGGTGTAGGAGGAACGTTGCTGGGGAACTCGGGAGCATTTCGTCCGTTACTTCATGTATTACCTCTCTGATCGTGTTCCAGAATGGTCGGAGTCGGGAGCACGTCCACCAGGTGTGTATGAATGTTCCTCTCTCTTTTCCACATCTCCAACAGGAGTCTGTGGCTTCCGGATTCCTGGCGTGGATCGCCGTCGGTGTCAGGTACCACCTGGTGTATATTTTGTATGAGTTTTCTTGCAGCCTTGCCGAGCTAGGTGTTTTTTGTATCAGGGTGATGTTTTTGTCCCAGGCTGCTTCTGTCATGGGTTCTTCCAGGTCTTCCTCCCAGTTTCTCATGCAAGGGGGTGCCAGTATATACCTTCCTGTAACCAGCATTGCGTATATCTGTGAAATGGCACGTGGGGTTTCGGTTTCTTGCGTACAGAGTAGTTCGAATTGTGTGGGGTCTCTCAGTAGTGATGGTTTTTGCGGGATAGACCGAGCATACCCTACTATTTGTGCTCTCGCCAGTGTGTGTGCAAAGGTGAGCGTTCGATCAGGAAAGAGGTCTGTGACGCCGCGGACTTCAAATGGGCGTTGGAGGACATCCAACATGCGAGGAGTCGTTGTGCGTCCCCTCGGGCCTGGCATGGGGCCGTGGTCTCCTGCTGGGAAGTCTGGGTTTCCTCTCAACGGCAGTAGCGGGCCTGGATCCGTCGTGAGGTATTGCTTCGTGCCTTCCCTGTGCCATACATTCATGGTCGCCGCCACGAATGGGTTGGTGATATGTTTATGTTTGTAAGTGGCTCTGGGTATCCACGGTAGCGTGCGAAGGTCACCGTTCGTGATGTCGGATTCTAGCTGGGTCCATGGTTTCGTTCCGCTGGCAACCGACCAGCTGACTATTCTGGTGAGGTGCGCTGCCTGGTAGTACTTTTCGAAATCAGGGAGCGCCAGGCCTCCTCGGAGTTTAGGCAGGGTTAGTTGAGCGTGTGCTATGCGTGGGGATTTGCCCTTCCATACGAACTTGCGGACCTCCGCCTGTATCGTCTTAAAGAAGGCTTGTGGGACTAGAATTGGCACCGTTTGGAACACGAAGAGAAGTTTCGGTAGTAGCGTCATCTTTACGGCGTTTACTCTTCCTAGCCATGATGCGTAGAGGGAGCTCCATTTATTTAGTTCCTCCGTTGCTTTTTTAAGTATAGGGAGGTAGTTGTGGATGTATAGGTCTCCCGGGGTGGGAGTGAGCCACACCCCTAGGTACCGCATACGGAGGTCGCACCAGCGGTATGGGTGCAGTCTTTGAAGTGTCCGTTTGTGGGCTTGATCTATGGTGAGGTTGAGGATCTCCGACTTAGCGTAGTTTATCTGGAGGTTGGAGATCAGCCCATATTCTTTAAATTCTGCCTGTATCTCCTGTAAGGTGGTCTCTGGACGTGTGACCACGAACAGCAGGTCGTCCGCATATGCTAGTGTTTTGTGTTGTACCTGTCCAACTGTGAGGCCCTGTATGTTTACGTTCTGTCTGATCCTCCGCAGAAACGGCTCCAGCGTCAACGCGAAGATTAGGGGAGAGAGTGACCCCTGTCTGGTTCCATTGTATATCTGGAACGGGTCCGTCAGTGCCCCGTTTATCCGGATTCGTGCCGTCGGGCTGGTGTAGAGGGCCCGTACCCATGTAAGGTAGTGAGGTCCCATCCCGTAGGCTTGGAGGGTCTCGAACATCATATCCCAGTCCACCCTGTCGAACGCCTTTTCCGCGTCTGTGGACAGGAGGAGGGTCTGTGTCCCGAGTGCTCTAGCGTGTGCGATGATGTTCAGGGCTCTGATGGTGTTGTCACGCACCTCTCTGCCCGGGATAAACCCTGTTTGGTCCAGGTGTATTAAGCCTGGCAGCAGCGGCGCTAGTCTCGCTGCCAGGATGCTTGCCAGAAGTTTGATGTCTGTATTGAGTACCGAAATCGGGCGGTAGTTTGGGCACAATGTCGGGTCTTTGCCCTCCTTTGGTAGCAGGGTAATGTTTGCTGAGGTGAACTGGGCCGTAGGTGCAGCTCCGTCCTGTATGGAGTTCAGGGCTTTAAGTAGTTTCGGCTGAAGCTCTTGCGTGAAGACCTTGTAGTATTGGAGGGGCAGTCCATCCGGCCCCGGTGCCTTCCCCATTTTAGCTTTCTTGATGGCGTATGCCAACTCTTCGGGTGTTATAGGTGCTTCTAGCGCGTCTTTCTCTGCTCCCGTTATATCTGGTATGTTTGCTGAGTTCAGGTACTGGCGTATGTCTGCCGTTTTCTGATGTCTCTGGTCGTCCTGTGCTTCCTTGCGGAGGTGGTAAAGGTCCTGGTAGTATCGTTGGAACTCCGTTGCTATTTGGTCTGGGAGGTGTCTGATTTGCTGCTGTGCGTTTTTTATTTTCGGTATATACAATTGTGTCTTACGTTGCCTCAGGAGGTTCGCCAGCAGTCTCCCGCACTTGTCTCCGTGTTCATGTATCATGTGTCTGTAGTGTTCGTATGCGCGTTGGATCCTCCTGTTAAGGTGCGCTGTGAGCTGGTTGCGTTTATCTGTTAGCTCTCTGTATATTGTTGTTTCTAAGGTTCTTTTATGTCTGGCTTCCAGGGTCGCAATTTCGCTGCTCAGCCTGGTTATTTCCCGTACCGCCGTCTTTTTGCGGTTCGCGCATATTGCTATAATCTGGCCTCTTGTTACCGTCTTGTGTGCTTCCCAGCATGTCATTGGTGTCACGTCCTCCGTTTCATTATCTTGGAAGTAGTCTCGTATGGTTTGGCCTATTTTATCAGCCACTGTCACATCCGATAGGATTGATTCGTTCAGTCTCCAGGACATCTGTCTGGGTTTAAATAACGGTGATGTCATCCGTATGCGGATCGGGCAATGGTCCGACCACGTCATCGGCAGTATGTCTGCCGCCTTGAGTAGGGCCAAATCGTGGTGTGCTAGTAAGAAGTAGTCTAGCCTCGTGTATGTTGCATGGGTTTGTGAGTAAAACGTGTAGTCCCGCGTTGTTGGGTTCAGCGCTCTCCAGCAATCCGCCAATTGGTGTTGGTGCAGTAGACGGAGTGTGTTCGCGTGTCGATTATGCGGGGTTCTGCCGAGTGCCGATGTGGAGTCTTGGTCTGGGTGCATAGTCAGGTTCAAATCTCCCCCCACGATCAGAGTGCCTTCTGCGAACTTCATCAGGGTGTTCAGTGCGTTCCGAAGGAAAGGGAATTGTTTCGTGTTCGGGGCGTATATATTGGCGAACGTGTAGGTTTGTTCGAGGATCGTGCCTTTAGTGAAGATATACCTGCCCTGTTTGCATCTTACTGTGGCTTGTTCCGTGTATGGGGTTCTGCTGGAGAATATGATACCTACTCCCAGCGTGCGTCTGTCCGGGTTGTTGCTAAAATATCCCGTTCTAAAATTGCGATCTCGCAGTGCCGGTGCTCTGCCTTCTTGAAAGTGCGTTTCTTGGAGAAACGCTATTGACGCCCTATAGTGTTTCAGATCCCGCAGAAGTCTTGTGCGTTTTTCTCTGACGTTTAAGCCGTGTACATTATATGAGAGAATGGTTAGGTCTTCCCTGGCGTACCCGCCAGGGCCTGGGTCCGGCATCCTCCGGACGGCCACAGGGGTGAGTGAGTCTGTTGCGTGGTTCGGTTGGGGAGTGTGTGAGTGTGTGGTGGTGTATCGTTGAGTGTGTAATCGGTGTTGCGTCTATTCACGACGCCTATATGGCCTCTGTATTACTGTAGGGTAATGGACAATCGTCCCGGGTATTCGACCGCGTAACCCGGCCTGCAAGAGGGGGCTGGGTCTATTCCGGGATTAGTGTATCCCCCTGATAAGTGGGGATCCCTATGTCCTATGCCTGTGGGGGAATCGGGCTTACCGTCTGCGACGGCGTAGTCCGCTTCTGGGTTCCTAGAAGGTCTACGTGTATGTATTAGTACTGTACGCAGTCCTTAGTCTGTCTCCCGGGTGGCTATTTACTCGGAGCGCCCGCTCCGTTTCTTAGTTTGTGTCGATTATGGGTTCGTTTATGAGTGTGTGTCTCGTCTGTTTGCATCTGAGTCGTTAATGTTTGTCCGTCATCTGCTCACGTGTGTGTTTTGGATTGTTTGGGGCCAGCTTGGAATGGGTCTAGCTATTTCGCGAGGTGGGGACCCTGTGGTATGGGGTGCCTCGTGGGTCTGATCAGGCCTGTGGGGTTCCTTTGTTCGGGTTAATCCTTTGTTTTGGGTGGAGCTTTGAGTCTCTGGTCTAAGGTTTGTCTGCTGTCTCTGCACTGTCTAGGGGCGTTGGTAATGTCTGGGGGAGGGCACCTCCGTCTTCCAGTCGCCTGTAGTAACTATTTCGTTGTCATTTATTAGCCTTGGACTGGTCTTAAGCTCTGAGTGGCTCTGGATCCGCCCGGAGGCAGGTTCGGGCCAATTGGTATGGGTTTCATGTATGCGCCTAACGTTGCGCGTTGAGCCGTATGCGCCGTGTAAAGGGCGTATCTTTTATTTTTTATTTTTTTTATTTATAACTATTAATATAACATGGTACAGGGATTTCGTGTACTATCATCGCTGCCTCCGTATATAGCCACGTCTCCCCCTCCCTCCCCTAACCTTTTAATACGGTCCCCTCTCCCCTTCTTTTAGTATTCCCACCCTGTATTCTCCCGTTTTCCGTTATTTATCTTTGCTCCCACTTTTTTTTTTTTTTTTAGTTTCTTGCGCTTCCGTCTTTCCCTCATTGATCAGGGGCCCCTTAACTCCCCTCCGGCTACTCTACCCTCCCGCTTCTCTCCCTGCCCCCAACTCCCCCTTCCCCCTGCCAAGTTCCTTTTTGCGCTGTGGGTTTGCACGGCCCTGGAGGCCTTCGGAGATGCGCCTCTACAGGCGGTGCAGCGTGGTTGCATTGTCTTTGTGTCCGTTTGTGTCTTGCATTCCCCATGTGGTCGTTCTCATCCTATCCCCTTCCCTTGTTCCCCGCCCCAAATGTCCTGGTGCCCTCCCGATGGAGTTTGCGGTAAGGGGCATGACTCTGGTCATGCTTTGCGTGTTCCCCCCCCCCGACATATTATAGTTGAGGTATAGTGTCTTTGTGACCCTTTATCCCCCTGTTCCCTCCCCAATTTCTGCGTGCTTGTGTGGTTCTCGCACGGTGTCCCCTGTGATGGTACTCACGATTTAGCTAGTTCTCATCAATGGAGTCCCCATGTCCTTGCCTTGGCTGTGCGGTGCTGTGTTCTGTTACTGCTCCCTCTGCGCTTGGCCCTGGTGCCTTTCGCGTTGATGTTGGGGTCGGGGCCTTTGCTGGTCCGCGATGTGTCCGCGCGGTTGTCGTTGTTGCGGGCCCGGTGGTTGTTGGAGGAACGATCTTGCCAGCCAGTCTGGCACCTGTTGCGGCGGGAGGCCTAGGGCACGTAAAAAGCTTTGGACATCATCTGGCTTCCGGATTGTTAGTTGGTCTTGTCCGTGTCTGGCTGTGAGGGAGAACGGGTATCCCCAGCGGTACGGTATGTTGGCTTGTTGCAGCGCTGACGTCACCGGTCGCAGGGCCTTCCTGGCCATCAGGGTGTAGCGTGAAAGGTCTTGGTAGATAGATACGGTCTGACCCTCCATTCGGATCGTCCCCATGCGTCTGGCTGTGCGTAGTATTTCTTCTTTTAGGTGGTAATTTTCCAGGCAGCATATTATGTCTCTTGGTTGTTCCTCACGTGTTGGTATGGGTCTCAGCGCTCTGTGTGCACGGATTAGGCCTATTCTGGGTGCAGGTTGGCCTCCCAGTACTTGGGCAAAGATCAGCCGCAGTATTTCCGGTACGTTTTCTGAGTGGCCTCCTTCCCGCACTCCACGGACGCGCAGGTTCATCCTGCGGCCGCGGTTGTCTAGATCGTCAACCCATGTGGTGAGGAAGGCTAGGTCGGCGTCTTGTTTCGTGACCGTCTCATTTGTGAGTTCCAGATCTGTCCTGAGCGCCCTTGTTTCCGTCTCCGCTACTGCCATGCGAGCCTCTATATTTGCCACATCTGCACGCAGCTGGGCCACCTCTTCACGGACCACCCGGCCTAATCTGTCAGAAAGGGCTTCAAAATCAGCCTTTGTGAGTAAGTTTGGCAAGATGTCTCTCCACTCACCCCCTTGTGGTTGCTGTGTGTCCAGGGTAGGCGATGGGGCCGGGGAGAATACCGCCGGCGTGGATGGGAAGGATTCAGGCTGCAGGCTTGCGGCCTCCATTTCCCTCCGCGGGGACTGATCGCGGCCGGCGGCGTGGAGGAATGCACGGATCGATTGATCCCCTCCGTGTCCCGCGGGTCTTGGGGTGCCGCCGGGGTCTGCCAGCCTCCTTGTGCGACCCATATGGTGTGTGCAGGTGAGCTGGGCTGGTGGTAATGCGGGCTTGATTGCGGGTGCCACGAGGAGCTACAGAGTTAGGCGGCCATCTCCGTCGGCTGCCGGACACGCCCCTCCCATACAGTTATTTTGTATACTTGTATTCAGTGAGTTACGCATTATGCAGTCTGCCTATATGTAATTTTAGAACTTGTAGGTATTGCATTGTACTCTCTATTTGACATTGTGTGTCTTTTTCATTAATTGATACAGTTAATGAGAGCCTATTATTGTGACCCATTTAATAAAAAATTTTTCATATATATTTGTGGTTGTGCCCCTTGTTTAAGTAATAGATGTAACTTTTTTGGCATTTGGGAATATGGCCTTATACGAGTGAGCACCCATTATTAGTAGCCCATTTCTATTTAGATATTTTCTGTTCTTTATCAGCAGTTTGAGTGTGCCTACCTGTTTTAATTTTTACACACATACTTGCTGACAGACACACACACAGACAGACACACACACTCACTGACTGACATACACATACACACTCACTGACTGACAGACAGACAGACACACACACTGACAGACGTGGGTTTGATGTAGAGAATTGAAAGCAAGAAACTGAATTTTAAATTATATGTAGTTAGCATATAGTTATCACAATACTAATTAATACATAAATTGATTTTCTCACCCCTCCTGGGTGGTATGTTGATTCCTCATTATTCCTATTGTCTCAAGCATTCCCATATCAGTCCATCTTTGTGATGTACTTATGGATGCTCTGTGTTTCATCCAAGAATGTGGCCTTGACACGCATCAGGCCCTGACCTCCTTCCTCATGGCTGGTGTACAGTCTCTGGTTGCTGAATTTTGGGTGGAATCTTCCATTCATAGTGATTAATTTCCTGGTCTTGACAACCAGCTTTTCCCTTAGCCAGGTTATTATTCCAGCTGAGTACCTGTTAACTGGTTGACTTGGATCTTGTTCTTGCCATTAAGCTGGGACTTCAGGACCTGTCGGACTCTATGGAGGTGCTTGGATGCAGCTTTGCTCCTTGCCTCTTCTTCGTGGTTCCCAGGTGTTTGTGGTACCCAAGGTGCTGGTAACTGTTCTCTACATCTGATATTTAGCCTTCTGGTACTTCAACTCATTCGGTCCTGATCATCTTTCCTCTTTTTCCTATCATCCCCCCACACTTATCTAGTTCAAACAACATTCAAATGTTCTTGCTGTATATCCAAGTTAGGTGGATCAGTGAGTCAATGTCCTGTTTACTCTTGGTATACAGCTTGATGTTGTTCATGTAGAACCTATAGCTATATCCACTCTACATTATGATCAGGCCAAGGGGTTTGAGGCCTATGCAGAACAGCATTGGGGATAGCACATCATCTTGATATATGCCACATTTGATGTACACTTGTGTTATCCTGGAATTGGCTTCTTGAGTTGTTTTCTACTTGCCCATTGAAGTCTTAATGAAGGCTCTTATTTTCTTGTTGATCTTATATAGAGCCAAACATTCCAGTATACATGTGTGTGGCATTGTGTCGTAGACTTTCTTGTAGATAATCCAGGCTATGCACAGATTGGTCTTGCGGGTGTTAGAATCATGTGTGACTGCTTGGTCTACAAGTAGTTGGTGTGTGAGGAACTGACTCTGCTGGGTTTCGAACCCTGGTTTACATGGTGCTAAACCTTTTCCTTACCAGTACACCAGCCTGCCTTTTGCAAATTTACCTGAGATCTGATACTATTGTTTGTAGAGTCAAGGTTATCAGTGACAACTCACTTCAGCTGTGTCTGGTCAGGTGTCTGGTCAGGTGTCTGGTCCTTGGCCTATAAAAGCCACTTCCTGTCTCTGTACCTTTGCCAGATTATTGTGGTTCCTGTACTCTCTAATCCAGCGTGTTCCTGTTTCTCCTTCCTGTTGCTGAATTTGGACTGTTTTGACTTTGCTGCTTCTCCTTCCCACTGACCTCGGCTTGCCTGACTACGATTATCATCTTTCTGTTCCAGTCTCCCATCTCTGCTTAAGACCAGAAGGCCACTCAAGGCTCAGGGGCTCAACCACCTGGGTAACGAGTGGCTACCTCTGGCAGAAAACATTGCTGATCTGGCTACTGGACTCCAAAACTTTGTAACATCAATATCATTACAGAATAATCTGGCCTTTTCATGGAGACCGTCGGATCAGATTCTGCATTGGCCCAGCAGGTTGCTTTTAATGCAAGAACTATGCAGACCCAGGCACAGACCATTCAAGTGCTGCAGGA